GTCTGTGACCGTAAATCCTCCCTTGAAAGACTTTGCTGGAGGTGAAGGAGCAGAATTCACAGTCAATTAATTATAGGGGTTTTTGTCGGGACAACAGGGAGTTTGCTTCAGGCTCTGGGGAAGCCTCGGTCAGGACAACTATACAAGTCTGGTTGTTCACCTGGAGAGACAATAGCCCCAAGCTTGGTGTTGTGATAGTTGTGCTCCCAACACAACAGAGGTGGGATCAAGAGGGGCAAAGCAGAACCGGGGTCAAAATCATCAAGATGGCAGTTGTCCAAACCCATTTTATGCAAGAACTCCTCCCGCTTTGCAACACAGTCCCCAGCCCCTAAACTCCGTCCACTGTCACGTTTCTCTTCCTTACCCTGCGTGAGATCTTGATTTTCTTGGTGCACCCGAAAAACAGGTCTTCGAGGGAGAGGTAGAGGTCCCTCTCTATGGGGGGGTCCTGCTTCTTCACCCCACGCCCCCGGAGACCCCCGAAAGCCATGTTGACCTCGGCTCCTTCGCCGGTGTAGAATTCTAAAGCATTGAGAGGAGAGGTTGGCCCCGGTTACATTCCACCAGCCTAGTGGTTTTTTCCTGACAATTTTCAGATAGGTGGACTTCAACTCCCAGAATTCCCCAGGGCTGGCTGAGGAATCGTGGGAGTTGGAGTCCACCCGTGTTAAAAGTTACCAAGGTTTGAAAAACACTAAATACAGGTAGCTGGAGTTGAGGCAGGGGGGTGGACTAGAAGACCTCCAAGGTCCCTTCCAACTCTGTTTTGTTCTATTCTATTATATTCCTTCTCCTCTTCTATTCTACTCTACTCTATTCTATCCTCTATTCTATCCTATTTTCTATTCTATTCTATTCTATTCTATTCTATTCCATATTCCAATTCAATTCTATTCCATATTCTATTCTATTCTATCCTATTCCACTTTCTATTCTATTATATTCTCTATCCTATCCTATCCTATTTTCTATTCTATCAGATCCTATTCCATATTTCAATTCAATTCAATTCCATTCCATATTCTATTCTATTCTATCCTATCCTGTTTTCTATTCTATTCCTTTCCATTCCTTCTCTTATTCTATTCTATTCTCTATCCTATCCTATTTTCTATTCTATCTTATCCTATTTTTTATTCTATTCTATTCTATCCTATCTTATTTTCTATTCTATTCTATCCTATCCTATTTTCTATTCTATACTATTCCATTCCATTCCATTCCATTCTATTCCTTCTCTTATTTTATTCTATTCTATTCTCTATCCTATTCTATCCTATCCTATTTTCCATTCTACCCTACCCTATTCTATTCTATTCCTTCTCCTAGTCTACTCTATTCTATTCTCTATCCTATCCTATCCTATTTTCTATTCTATTCCATATTTCTATTCTATTCTATTCTATTCTATTCTAAGGTTACAATTTTTGTTGCCATCTAGGAGACTGTTAAAGGGAGTCATGCCATACTTCATGAACTTTTTGCCATGGTTGTTAAATAAAACACTGCAGTTGTTAAGTGAATCACGCGGTCATTAAGCGAAACAGCATCCCCATTGACTTTGCTTGTGGGAAGGTTGCAATTGGTGATCACGGGTCCCCGGGATGCTGCAATCGTCGTAAATGCGAGCTCGTTGCCAAGGCCCCAAATTTGGATCACGCGACAAATGGGGGAACGCTGTGATGGTTGTAAGTAGGAGGACTGGTCATAAGTCATTATTTTCAGTGCCATGACAACTTTGAATAGTCGCTAAACGAATAGCTATAAGTTGAAGGCTACCTATGCAGACAGTCCTCAACTTAGGACCGCAATTGAGCCCAATATTTCTGCTTTTAAGTGAAACATTTGTTATGTGACTTTTGCTCTATTTTATGATTTTTCTCACCACCGTTGCTAAGTGAATCGCTGCACATGATGTTAGTAACCAGGTTGTTAAGTGAATCCGGCTTCCCCATTGAACTCTGCAGGTGAGACGGTCACAAAAGGGGAATCGCGTGACCCTAGGACATTGCGACCATCATAAATACGAATCCGTTGCCAAGCGTCTGAATTTTTAACACAGGGACGCTGCGACGGTCGTACAGTGTGAAAAGCGACCCCAAGTCACATTTTTTGTCAGTGCTGTTGTAACATCAAAACGGTCACTAAATGAACTGTTGTAAATCGAGGACTACCTGTATGATTTGGAACAGTCGCAAAACAAATAGGGGAGGAATATCTGTAATATGAAACATGGCATAATATGTGACCTCCAGGCTCCCTTGGAGCCCACACAAACACACAACAGGGGCACCACACACAAACACTCGCACGCACATCAACCCATGGTCCTTCCGTCAGATTTATACGCTGAATTGTAAATCATCCAACAGGGAAAGAGGGGGTTTGTCGGAACCTCACCCGCAAAGGGGTTGTCCCCTCCAAAGAATTGCCGGTAGACTTTCTCGGGGTTCCCATGGAAGACGTAGCCCTCCGTCCAGGGGGTGTCGATGCCAAACTCCAGGGGGATTCCGCCCTTCAGACCCTCCTCTGCAAATTTATCGTACACGGCTTTCTTCACCGCTAAAGGGATCCGAAGGGAAAAGGTTTGAGTCGGACTTATATCCCGCTTCACACACCTCCACAAGCATCCTCCACTCCTTTCACAAGTTCCAAGGAGGCTCCACGGCTATTTGCACCCCTCGCGGGACCTTAAGGATTTAGATTTTAGATTTTACCTTATTTGTATGCCGCCCTTTTCCCTGGGGGGACTCAGGGCGGCTCACAATTCAAGGGAGGGGGAGGAACAGACAAGTTACAGAACATAACATAAAGATCATACACCATTAAAAAGCACAACAGTCATACCATTCGAGTGGGGCTTTAGCCTTTAGCCCCAGGCCTGTCGGGACAGCCAGGTTTTAAGGGCTATGCGGAAGGCCTGGAGGGTGGTGAGGGT